ATGGAATTGTTTTGTTCCCTTACGTCAATAACTCAAGAAGGATCTTTTTCTACAAAAGTTTTACAAAATAATTATCATTTCATCAAAGAATTGATTTTAGAAAAAAAGTTCATCCCATTTCCACCCAGACCAACCTCTTTACGATTAACTTTCGGACCGAACCCTCACAACCAAATAATTGTTCCCGATGAATACGCACCAAAGGATGGGTATGAAAATGACGGAAAGCTCGATATAATCGGCGGAGCAATTGCAATTGAACCAAAGTTGGTAAAAACTATGGGAGAAAATAGGATTCGACTAGATTTGTGATCTTGTATGCGCTAGGAATTCTATGTAGAAAACAATATTTTAAATAATGAATGATAAAAATAATAATTACTTTACTGTACAGTTAACGTGGCGGGAAATATGGGAGGTTTGCTATTAAAATCGAGTTACGAACATAGTAAATCATATGATCCGTAACGTGATTTTAATTGCAAACCTCCATAATACCAGTTAAACAAGGGATACCAACATTAAACGCCAGTGTATCTATTTTTAATATTAAATAAAAAACTATGATTTGTTCATTCCTGTTGTCAAAGATACGGTGCCCCATTATTAAATCTCAGCCGAGATAGATATTAATTGTTTCAAAAAATATTTTAAATTACAAGATATTTTTAATTATATTATCTTTTTGTACATTTTCTTGTCATTTGCAAATGGGCGTTTGTACAACAGAAAAAAAGGGAAAATCAAGAGACTTCATCTAACCTTAAACGGTAAGATAATCATTTATTTGAAATGTTTTAAACCTGTTAGTCATATCAAACGCCCATATGCATGTCTCATTCAATGAATTCCAGATTTAGCAGCTGATAGCAAAAAGGCAGAATTAGTAGAATTATTAGTTGTAGTAAAAGTAGGTACTGTACATCTTTATCAATGGTTAACCGGAATCAGTTATCCAACTATATCCACCACCTGACCTACCGATAAGACAAATTTGAATCAATAAAATGGGGATATAGGTTTTGTCATATTGGATGATATTCTCTTTTCGAAAATTTTGCTTCGAATTTTTATATTTTTCTTCTAAAAAGAATGTGCTCTTGTAACCACTCATGATCATACATTATTTCAAACATAAATTATTATGAATCAGAAATAAAATATTTTAAAAACAAACAATTAAAAAATATATATCTTAGATAAATGTTGTAAATTTTCCGATTGGATAAGACAATATCCATGACCACATGAACTACTTGTATTAAATTGAAGAACAGGGGTGGGTTAATGTCATAAGAACAATGATCATATTGTTTTCACTGCATGAAGATTAGACCTCTCCTTTTATTATAAAAGCAGTCAGAAATCTTGCAAGAAATCATCGAAAAACTTTCAACCTTTTGTAAAAAAAGGTCAAAAGGTACATATTTAAATTTACGAAATTTCTTTATACATTTGTTTCAAAATTGTATATTAATCATATTACTTTCTATTTTCACTAGCGACTTTAAAAATGTGACCAACGAACGAAAATGGTTCCTCTCAAACGAACGAAACAATTACTACAGGATGTTGTAGAAAATAATAAAAAATTTTTTCATTTCGTTCAAATCGTTCAAATCGTTTTCGTTATTATAGAGTTGGTTACATATTTACCTATCGGCTTTCGAAAAAACTTTTTTTTATCGATTTTTTTTTATTTTGTTACGTAGCGTAGTATCTCTTATTTGCCTTTCAGAGAAATCGTAAATTTTTTTCATTTTCGTCGTTATTAAGGATCATAAGCTTTTACGTTTTTTTTAAATTTTTTTTTTTTTAAAAAAAAAAGGACCAATCATTATGTATATGTATATATGCAACTTCACCTGACAACAATTATAAAAAAATTTATATTTTATAAGAAATAAATTAAGTAAATTACAATTATTTAGCGAGATTTTGTCATTTTTTTTTTTTGATGAACGTTTCACAAATGAAAGATATGCCGCAGTCAACATAAAATTTTGACATTTCGACTAATAAAAAGAACATTTGGAACGTAAAAAGTTAAATTAAGATGATTTATGGTTGTAACACTAAGAAAATTTTGAGCCATTTGACCTTCACAATTTTTTCTTTACATTGTAAATATTCATAACCCGTCTTCACTTGTCATGGGATTAAACAAAGATTTTTATCAATCTGATATCTTGAAACTATTTTGGATGTAATAATTACTATTGAAGTAAGTATTATTTTTTATTTTAAGAGGTCTTAAATGACATCTTTGCTATGTTTTATAAAAAGTACAGTTGTATAAAAAAAAAAAATCTAATTAAAAACAGAATAAACCCGACGATCATCAGTTCAAGTTTATAAAGGGATTATATACAGGCATATACGGATATACTATATACAGACCGACCGATAACTCTCACAATCGATAATAACTCATAATTAATATAGAAAACCGAATAATCGAACAAAATAACCTTACGGTAAATGATGTTTTGCGAATATAAAAATTCGATTAAAAAAAAAAATATCTCGAATAATAGAAAAATAGGAAAAAATGATGGCTACTATATATTGAAAATAAAATTTTTTTTTTAAAAATTTTAATATCCTTGATTGAAGTTAAATAAAAGCTCAGTCGGCAAGCCTTCGTAATGAAAACATCCGTCCGCGGTATCATAATTAAAATATAATGGCGCGTCAATTTGGACAAAGGTCCAATTTAATAAATTGCAATCTGGGTTCGTGAATTTCGGACACATTTTTCTTTTAATTTCCAAAGCGTCTTTATATTCCAGATGTTTTGTTTCCGGTGACGATTGAGTTTGTAATTGAGGTGAATTATTATGACCATCATCATCCTCATTATTTTCATTTTCATTTTCGTTTTCACCGTACTCATTTTGAACATTTTCGATTTTATTTAAGGAAGAACTTGCTTTAGAAGGTAAGGTTGGAGAAATAGATTGTGTGGATACTTGATCGTTTTGATCTAAGTTTAGAAATGATTCGTCGTACATTTCAGCTTTATCAAAATTGAAGTAATCAGTAAAAGAAACTTCTTGTTCGTTAATCATTTGTTTTTAAAAGTTTAAAGGAAATTTGCAATTTTTTTTCAAAAAAAAAGAAAAGGAAGGAAAAAAATTTGGAGAGCAAAGCATTAAGCTGCTAATTACAAACATTTTTATACCTTTAAGAAAAGTTTTTGGTAGTACCTTATTTTTTCCCGTTTGTGCGCGTTTACTGATTTTTGTTATTGATAAATCTTTATTACTACGATGCCAAATAATAGAAAGCTGAAATTTTCATTATTAGGATTGTAACATAAAACTTGATTTTTTTGTTTATAATTTCGGTTAAATAATATTATTCATATGAATTAACAATATATTCAGTATATTACAAAATATAGTTGTCTTTTCTTTTTATATGAATTAGTATTTAATAACTATTATAGAATACTCATTAAGCGCGGCCAAAATGTGATACAGGAGACGTTTTAAAATTTTTGAAACATATTTATTGTCTGTGAACTAGAAAATCGTAGATAAAAAAAGGTTTCATTATCAATCAATCTAATATTTCAATTATTCATTGTCTTTATAGGAACTCGAAATGTATAAAGTTTCAAAATAAGCTATCATCTGTTGTCCGTAGCAAATTTTAACCAGTTAATTAACCGGTTAAGATGGTTAACCGGTTATTAACCGGTACAGTGAGAATTCATACAGTTTTTTTAATGGTCGTCCTTAAAATGACCTTATCCTAGACCGCAACTGTACATATCACGTGATAAGTACTTTATGTCTAGGGCAATAACCTAAACCCGGAGTCTAGGATTAATTCATTAATTCGCCCTTTTTAAAACCCAGCACTTTAACAAGGTCGTTGGAGTCTTTCTTTTGACCTCCTTGCTATCTCGAACAAGATTTGTGGAATTTGTTACAATATTCCAAATGAACAAAACAGAATGAGAAAAAATGATTGACGATCTTGCTCAAACTTTGTTATTGATGAGAAAATTAATTACTAGTCATGTCATGAGACAAGTAAATCAAATAAAAAATTACCAACCAACGTGATTTATTGACCGGCTTGGCCGAAATTAATCATGTGACAAATAAGGTGACAAATAGTATTTTCACCGGACTTGCAAACGGTCCCCGTTACCTAGTGTTATAATGACTCTATATAAGTGAAGAACGAACATTTAAAGATCATTCTTATAATACCTTATTTTTTAATTAAGAATTTTATTTTTATAAGGTAATGTATAATAGCTTTAAAATATTATTATATTTATTTAAATATGAAAAAGTTAATTGATGACGATGATATTAAAATCATTACAAAAGGAGTCAAGTACGAAGAATAATAAGACATTTTTTGTGAATAAGAAATTTTAAGGGAGAACAAAAAGTCAAATGAGTATATGTAAACACTTTTTAGAGGGGTAATCAAAAAAAAAACTGAAACTTTGCTTTACAAATAATCATGAATAAAAAAAAAAAAAAACGATAATTTTTCGGTAATATCTATATAAAAAAAAAATAGTGGTAGTAAAACGGTATATCAGGATATAAAAAAAAAAAGATTGGGGGCGACGAAAAAATAACTCGGAATACGTATAAATTTGGGGAGCAATTATTTATGTTTATTTAGTTGTTCCATCAGGAACATATTTAATAAAGGACGGTCTCTTTCGAATTGGTACCTTCTTTGAAACTCGTCCTTTTCTTTCTTTGACAACGCGTTCCAAGATTTGGCGACCACCTTACTTAGCTTGGACATTTGAATATTCTTAGGCCGAAACTTCATCATTTCTTGTCGATATAAAATGAACATATTCGGCTTTCTTGATTTTTTTGGTTTTGGATCATCATTATATTTATATTCTATAAATTTAACCATAGTGTAAAATTTTTTTATTTTTAAAAAATGAATTGAAATAAATTTATGGGATTTTTTTTTTAATGATTAAATGATTCAAGTAAAATTTTGGTTTTTTTTTTTTATTAATTCAAACAAATGAATTATGAGGGAAGCAGACAGACATGTTCTATATATACTATTCTACCTTATCAAGAATCTTTTTTTTTAAAAAAAATGTTTAACATTGGAATACCTGTTTGTTGACGGAGTACGAATCTACACATCGGAAACCTAAATACGGAGACTCATCAGTATAATCGAATGGATAAAAAAATAAATAAAAAAAAAGTTTTCTATTTCGATTCAAATTACATAGCACACAAACTTGGGTTGCATGAGTTTTTTTATTGGGACGGGATTATATTTTGTCCAAGAATGCTTATGCTTTATTGCTTCTCATATATCTAGTGAAAGGCCTAAAATATGATATTTAGGATTGAAATAACGAAAAATTCATTCATTGTGCACTAAAAAAATATACAGTGGTGTGCAAAAAAAATGATAATCTTTAAAATTACGATAGTTACACAACCACTTTATCAATCGAAGCGTACAATATGTTATTTTAAAGCTAAGAAGCAATA